CATAATATTACACAATCGCACAGTTCAAGAGGTCGGAACAGACCTCGCTCATTTGTTATTGAATCGGGGCGAGTATTGGAACTAAGAAAAAGCCACGTCTCCCACCGCCACCATGTGGGAAATGACGGTCGCAGGCCACATAATTACTCCTCGACCGAAAGCATTGCCACATCGAGTAGTGGTGGCAGCATGGAATCTTTGCGGTCGAGTACCAGTGAAGGAAATCGAAGTACTTCCAGTTCAGAATCAAGGAACTCAACCTCGTTGAGTTCACATAGCTCTGAATCTGGTAGCTCGAGCGTTGCGCTCCCTTTGCGAGCACCTATTGTTGTCCACTCAAAATTACATATCTTAAGTCCAATATCAGACAAGTCTTCCCAAGAACCAGCTTCCGAATTGTCAGAACAAAATAAAACTCAACATACCTCCCCTGAGGAAATTACGCAAATTGGTCAACAACTCCAAACAGGTTCCCACACTTCAACATTAAATGTTGAAATTACAAAACCTCTACAGCAGACATCAACAGATATATTAAAGAAAAAGAAGCTGCCCGCAAACAAGACACTTCTCAATTTAACCGATGAAATTATTGGTTCGGATAGTGGCATTTCACTTCATTCGCGCGAAGACTCAAAATTAAGTGCTGGTATTCAAAATTTTAGTCTTTCAAAGCTTAATTTCCCACAGTCTGACAAAGTAAATGAGAGCAGCACCAGCGCAGCTGCGACTGCTGCACACTCATGCGGGGTACCCAAAGACTTACGTGATTTACCTTTTGATATGCCAAAATTAAGACGAAAAAAGGCTCTACAACAGGTAATTACAGAGAAAAAACAATGGCAAATCTTATTTTCAGATGGTTATCATTACTTATTTATAGGAAGCTTGTACATCCGGAAGTGCCACTTCCGTGGACTTGGGCGATTTACCATTTGACATGCCGAAACTGAGAAGACGACTTCGCACGAATCAAACAGAAACAGGGCTTTCGTGTCATAGTACTGAATCCAGCGGATTATCACAAGCGTCTTCTAGTCATTCAATGCGTGATGAAAACAAGATCTCCCTGAAGTTAGGTAAGTAATTTTTTAAAATGTAACGCTCAATGTGAGCTGTACAGTTAATACAATATAAACATTTGTTTTCTTTGACACAGATGGTGCTATCTTTCGACAAAATTTAACTTTAAACTTTAATGAACCGCGTCCAACAAATAAATTCGGCAGTCTCGATTTACGAGGCCTTTCATCCAACAAGGAACTCAATCTTAACATAGCAAAAGGCTTCACATCAGCTGTCGATTTAATTGATATTTCTATACCACTTGAGCGTCAAGGGTAAGATACATTTTACATATTATTATTAAAACAATATAAATCAATGTTTTTATTATTTTCGATAAAGTTGGTATCATGGAGCCATTACTCGCATCGAAGCAGAAAATACCTTACGGCCCCTCAATGAAGGAAGTTTCCTTGTGCGTAACTGCGAATCCACCAAGCAAGACTATTCACTTTCACTTAAGTAAGTATTTACAAGAAAAAGTTTTGTAACCAAAGGTATAAAAATAAATAATTTAAAATAAATTTAGGGGTGCCAAAGGATTTATGCATATGCGCATCCAACGCAACGAATCAGGCCAATACATTTTAGGCCAGTTTAGTCGTCCATTTGAAGCTGTTCCCGATATGATCCGACATTTTTGCTTAAATCGCTTGCCAGTTCGTGGAGCAGAGCATATGTGCTTAATTGAGCCAGTCATAGTTCAGTTATTATAGGCCTTTTTACGAGATAATTTCCGATTACTTTAGATATGTACATATGTTATTAAGCATATAATGTAGTTTTTAGGTGCTAACGTATGCATATATAATATATTATATACAAGAACATATACACGTTTACTGATAAAATTAAAGGAACAGAAAACGATAAATAATAAGACAATACCAGTAAATTAACACGAATGCATAAAACCCATATGTAAATATATTTATTTAATATGTATGCATGTATTCCTGGGTGACAAAAAAATATTGCCTTTGCACCAGGAGTTACGTATCAATGATATATGAACTTACATGTATTCACATGCTTATGATGGCTAGAAAATATTATATTAGGTGACGCGAAGATAGGCAGTTATTATAATCCCAATAAAGTTAGATATAAAAAATCATTACATGCACATACAGAAATACATTCACTTCCACACATGAGACACTCTCTAAATAAAGTGTACATATACACAACACATATTTATTTACATCAGTACTACATAAATATATAAGCACTATTTACATAAATTCTAATATGTGAAAGCATGAAGACCTGCAAAATGCATAATAAATTTACGCACATATTGAAATCATGCATATACATACATATATATTTGAAAAAATTCGTTTGAAAGTATTTGTTATTAATTTTAATTTAAAATCCTCACATTAAAGAACGAACTTGTAAATAAAGTATGTTTCTTACACACTCGTGTGTAAGTTTCGTTGAGCAGCTCAAAGAGCAAAACTAATTTAGATACAAATTTATATAAAAGTTATGTGCTATTAGGCACTTATTAATAAAACTGATTGATTTTAGTGCAATATTTGTTTAATATATATATTTTCAATTATTTTTAATTTTTGTATTGAAAGTCAGTACCGAATATTGAATGTGCAATAAGGTAGTTATTATAATTATTCTTGTTAATTCTTCAGAAAACATCACATTTACACATCTGGATGTATTTGAATGCAGTTTGTTACAAAATATCATAATAAAATATTTGTTTATGATATCACTTATCTACTTATTTTTGCTTCTATATACTCAACATTAATATTATATATGTTTTAAATTCTATATTGAATTTAAAGGGGACCGATTTTGATTTATATTACAAATAATCAATACTGAGGGCAATAAAGCACAACATTCTCTGATATGCACCATAAGAATTATGAAATTTTATCTGTTCAGCAAATGGAAATACTATACAACGTTACAAATCAAGAGAACTAATCATCGATAATAAAATTTATGAATGTGCGTACATATGTATTACTATAATACAAATGTTTATTTTTTCATTTTCAAATAAAAAATTGGAATTAGTTTTATTATAATATTGTAGCAATTTACATGAGATGTAATAAATAGAAAGGTTTCGTTAAAATTCTTAATTATGTATTGGATCTGTATAAAAAATGAAAAATAAAACATTTCTATAAAATTGCTGGTAGAAATAGTGATATTAGTATAAGCTTTTTCAGTTTGATATATAATACACACGAAACACTTTCAATTAAGTACGAACCGGGTAAAGTTTTACTGCTGAAAGTTTTAAAATTTTGGTAAAAAGGAATAATGCAATAAGACGTCAAAATATTATTGTATATGATATATATAGTTATGAGCGCATACATGTGTGCTTAGAAAAATATTTAAAAAGCAGTTTCTGTTTGAAATATTCTTTTAGAGAATAAAATAAACTACTTTTGAAGACAGTAGTATTTTAAAAAAATACTTGATCGATATTCATGCACACATACTCATAAATGATATCATAAGCCAATGATGTATAAATAGTCGTAGATATTCATACTATAAATAAAAACATATTAACCAAAGCGATTTATATGATTATTTGATTTTGGAAAAGAACAGATATTGGACGAAATAAACCAAATAGTAAGTCTAGTTAATTTTAACAATAGAGAAAATAAATATGTATATAATTCTGAAAGTTATGTAATTATAGAGTCAGCGAGAGTACGATTTATGGCAAATTAATTTTGTAAGAGCTCTTGTAAAAAGGATGCATATTCGTATATAAGCTTGCAAAGGTACATACGAGGTGTGTTCAAAGGAAAATGAGAATTTTGATTTTTCGCGGGCTATGTACATTCGATTATCGATATTTTGTTTTTGTTATAATCGGACACATATGTTTATTATGTGCTTGCATTAGGAGCCAATTTCGATTAGTATTTTGTTTTTGACAACAGAAAATATTTGTCGCGTTTTTGTGTGCTCTTCGATTTTCGACTTTGTTTTGCTAAATTTTGAGCAAAAGCAATGTCGCAGCATTAGTATCGCTCAGGAGTTGTGAATGACGTCAACAACGATCAGGGTTTGCTCAAACGGGTCATAACTGGTGAAAATCATGGATTCTGCATCACGACAATGCACCAGCTCACACATCAAAGCCTATTCGTATTTTTTTCAAAGTTCACCCTTTCCTTTGAACACACCTCGTACGTGTTTATTCCAGGAAGCCATTAGAAAAGTTATGTAGCTGTCCTCCGTATATGCTTATGTGTATATGTATTTATTGATGATGCTTGCACGTTGAAATAAATTTTGATTTGCCTTTAGCACTCACTCACACACATTTAAATAGAATATACAATTTTCTCTACTTAAAACCAATTAAAATAATATTTCACTAAGTAAAAAATGCTAACCTGCAAATATAATATATCTTTATTACGCGCTTTAGCATATCGAACTTCATATTTCAGGCAACACCAACACTTCCTTCGTTCAACTCGCAACTATAAAAAATAGTCGACATAAAAGTAGGAAAAATGATCGTAGACGTTCTATTTCCATCCTTAATGACATTACAAGAGTTTCAATGTAGATAGGCCCTCTATTCCAACTTTGTAGGAGAAATTGCAACTTTGAAAATAAACACTTCTGATCTCATCTTATTCTTAAATTATGTAAAAAATAACACGTCCGTTTAATACTGACAACTGTTAGCTACTGACATTTTCATTTTTGAATGATTCCATTTCCGCTACGTAAAACTCTCAATCGGGAAACAGGGATGTTTAAAACTGACAAAATTATTGGCAAATGTCAATTGTATCAGCTGCTTCAATTTTACTTCAATTGTTGGGCTACTACAAAATTGTAAATATGTTGCAATTAGCAAGCTAAAAATCTCTTATTTCACCAGATCCAATCTCTACGCCATAATTATTCGCACATTTTACTTGCCCAAAAGGCCATTTTTAACTTATATTTATTGAGGCCTGAGTGGATACATAAACAGAATAAAATTATTTATCAAACTCCTCCAAGTATTATTCAAATTAATTTAATACAAAATTATTTAAATTGTACACTAAAAATAAGAAAATAGCAAAACTTAAATACCAATTACATGAACAAAGAAAGGTATGGAAAACTATTTCCCAATAAATATCAAAATTTCTGCATTGTAAATCTTAGTACTTCAAATTTTTTCGCCATTTTCGTTTTTGCAGTAACTTTAGAAATAAATGTTCTGGATAACTTGTAAAATCGGCTTTAAGGAAAAATTACAAATCCTCATCCTCTTCTGGCAATGCGGTTTCTTGAGCTTCTTGTAAATCTCTCTCGATTTGTAGCTGCCAGTCCTTGTCCATTTTAACTTCTGGCGGAAGTAACGCTGGCATAGCCACAAATTCTAAGTTTGGATCTCCTACTAATTTTCGTGCCAGCCATAGGAAAGGTTTTTCAAAGTTGTAATTTGATTTTGCAGATATGTCGTAATACTGTAAAGTAATTTAGAATATGTACTATATGTACGTAATTTAATATAAAAAATTGTTTCGAAAAAACTTACCTGCAAGTTTTTCTTTCTATGAAAAACTATGCTTTTAGCCTTTACTTTGCGATCCTTGATATCAGCCTTATTGCCGCATAAGACAATGGGTATATTTTCACAAACGCGTACTAAATCTCTATGCCAATTGGGTACGTTTTTGTATGTGACACGTGAAGTTACATCAAACATAATAATAGCACATTGTCCCTGAATGTAATAGCCGTCACGTAAGCCGCCAAATTTCTCTTGACCAGCGGTGTCCCAGACATTAAAACGGATAGCGCCACGATTTGTATGGAAAATAAGGGGATGTACCTCAACACCAAGTGTAGCAACATATTTCTTTTCGAATTCGCCTGTCATATGACGCTTAACAAAAGTGGTCTTGCCAGTACCACCATCTCCGACTAAAACGCATTTGAATGTGGGAATATCACCTTCCTGAGCCATTTGTGAAATGCTTCTTTCGATATTGCTTAATGGATGTTCTAGGAAGTAAAATAAATGTATATAAAATAATACATTTTAAAAAGTAGAAATAATCGAAATACTAAAATACAAGCTAAGCGTTGCTTTCTAGAAATATTTTCTGACGCATACAAATTAAACTCATACACATATATCCAAATATATATGTATATAAATATATAATGGTATATGCATGTACATATATAAAAATTTTGCGAGATCTAGCAGGGCTTTGGCGCCAAAATTATATACAAACGACGCGGCCGTGAACCAGACCAACGAATTCGTTAAATCTTTAAATTTTACGTGATATTTTTCACAATAATCGATTTTTCGAACATATTTACTTTAACTTGTACATAAATGCCGGTAGACAGCTGCGTATTAATCGTCACTTATGAGAAAGGAATACCTAACCTCAACTCATGAAAACGAAACATTTGCATATGCAAAAATTTTTGTGCCGATGACAAATAGCTAACCACTTAGAGTAGCTCTTTAGCAAATGTAAATTTCCATACCACTTTACAACTATTTCACAAACTCTTGAAATGTTGGAATTGTAGTTTTCGGGTTTTCTAAAGTAATGATTAAAAACGAAAATAGATAAAACCACGCTAAATTATACAAAGACTTGTCCACATGCCAATACCGAAATGAACGCGCTAGATTCACTCTTAAAAATTATACAACAAACACTTTTCTTTATGCATCGGCAAACAGAACTTACAATTGCCGTTGTTTCTGTATACCTCAATTTGAAGTAACAAATATATTCTTCAAGAAAAAAATTTGAAGTTAACAACACGCGAAACACACAATCGGACTATTGGTCTGTGAAAAATGCGAAAAACTTAATTCCGCTGCCAAGTTCGGTCTGCGGCGAATAACTGTCGAATGTTGAAGAAAATCGCGAAGGTTGGTTGCACTGTGAATAAATGCGAAAGTTGCCATATCTAATAAGTCAATTTAATTGGCTTCAGACATATTTTCAATGCAATCAGCTCATACCAAACTGATAGGAGAAATTTGAGAAAAATGTAAATCTGACTCCACTAATATATATATTTCACTTTTAAATACTGAAGACTACACTTACTAAAAGACATAATATATTCATTGGCAATACCTAAAACATAAAATAATATTTTCTCGGAAACCAAGTGACAAAATACATATTTTAATTATACGCTTATAAACATATGTATTTAATTTTTTAACATCTTCTTAATTTTTTATATTAAAAAAATTTACACTTAAATACATAATGAAAATAAAAAGTATGGAATGTAAATTAAATTCTCTGGAGAAGTCTTTAAAATAGTTGAGCGATTAATTATGATATAGACTACGAATTTAACGATAGCAACATTGATGTAGGCTTTGTGGCAACCTTCGCATTCCCACAAGTTAGAAAATATGCTGGGCAGTGTTAATAGAGAGAAATATATTGTGAAGAACAAAATCAAATCGACAATAAATTGCCAGAAGCAACTAGACAGCGAATTCGTAGTTGCCATAATGTTCTTGTGGCGAACTTTTGTTAAAGATCTACTATATAAAGGCTGCCGGATACAGTAAAGACAGTTCTAATTAGAGTGTTGCCGTGCAAGAGTAATTAAGATATACGTAAGAAGTTGTAAATTCGGATAATGAGTAGTAAAGCGTTAAGTTGTTTGGATAGAATTAATGATAAGTGTATAACCATTAAATTGGGACTTTAATTTAGCGATCTACTGATCGAACTCAAGAGTGAGTTACAAGGTAGACGATTTATCGAGAAATTCGTTACAATATAATATGGATAATACGAATTTATTTACTGATTATTTTATGCAATATAATAAAGGTTTAGTTTCTTTTCATAATTTAAAACTATTTTGAATCCTCATGCTCGCCGTATAAACCCGATTGTATATAAGAGTTGTAACGAAAATTTACATGTATCTGCACAGCATGCGATCAGTGTGTGACCTCCATCCGGTTGATATTAATTTCAAAATTCCACCCGCCTTTTCCGTGGTAAGCAATTTCAAATTCTGATTTTGATATACATTTTTATATAAAACGACGGTTACGAGTTTGAACATATACTCGTAGATAATTAAGATAAAACAGGATGTGTCAGATAACTGATTAAAAGAATTTACTTAAATTCGTATTAAAAAACATGTTGCATGAACCCTTTTATAAAATGTTCTGGGCTATTATAAGTAAATCATGATTACTCTTTCTCGCAGACAACCAGAAACTAATTAGTGTTCGTCGTATTATATGGGAATCATTTGCAATTGTTTGTTATTTTTTGTTTTGGACGTATGGATAAGTTTCGTTAGATTATATATGTATTATACTACACTTTTTTGTTTGGGTTGATTTTAATATTTGTATTGGAGTTATAATGTCATTTAAAACGACGTGAAACATTTATATTCATTACTTTCCCATAATTTATCGGAAAAAAATAACTAATTTTAAAAATAAATTTAATTTCCGAAGTGAAATAACATTTTTCCTTATTTCGAAATTAAATAATGGAAATTTGGAATAAGTACACTTAAAATTAATAAAATGGCAGAGACATTTTATTTCTATTTTTCAAGAGATCCTTTGAAATATAACAATATGATGAGAATCTAACCATATAAAATAAGTTCTTACGTGACTCTCTAAGTGAAACACAATTTAAGATTATATGAATGTATATTTATTTTTTCCATTCTCTAATTATTAGATATATTTATAATGTACTGTATGTACATATGTATGTTGTACGAATTTATAGATACTGTAACAATTTGAACAAATGAAAACGTTATATATAGCAGATACAAGTATATGTATGTTACTATAATATCCACCGAGCCGCATCACCTTGTATTCTTGTATAGCTGCTCACATTCAAGAATTTTGCTTCTGATAAAATCAGCAATCAATTATCTTAAAGAGCTACAAATATTACTATAAAACTAGATATATTAGAGAAATAACGATATATATGATTGAAATCGTATAGAATTTCAATTTTACTGCGAAACAAACTACTTAAATTGAATTTAATTCAGTTCTCGTTTGTCTCTTTGGCTAATTTGCGCCATTGTTATATATTGTCGCACGAGTCGAGATATCTCGTGTGCTTGTTCAGTTTGGACGCGTATAACGCGTTGCTGCATAAGATTGCCCACTTTCATGTCCAAAAAGAGTGCACCATCTTCCGAACGCACCTAAAATATTTGGGTTAAAAAGCAAAAATTTAAATTTCAGATATTTATATGTAAAAGTACTTACTTTGCGCGTGGAAATAACTTCCATGAATGGCCAGTGCTGTAATGTTTCGTGCGTGTTTGGATCCAGGAATAGCACACCGCGTCTATTTAAGGCCAATATCAAATCACGCCACATTGGGTTGCTGTCTTCGACGTGGGGTCCCTCCTCGGCCCAAATGCGTTTCACCGCAAAGAAACTGCTGCCGAACAGAGGCCACGCAGACAGTACCGTAAGAAATTGAGCTTTCACTTGGCCCGGTGTTAATCCAGCAATTTGTGGCCAAGCTGATTGCACTAAGCTGACCCATTGTGCAGGACGGATTTCTCGAACGCCAAGCGCCGGTTTGGGTAATAGAAATTTGATTTCTTTCATAGCCGGAACATGTGTTAAATCAGCAGCACGATGAAGTAATGCTGCTATACGCGCCATATCGCGAACAATCTCTGCAATTGGTACACCGTTTCCAGGTAATTCTAATAACAAACCCTCTAAGTAATCCGGAGCCACTTGATTAAAGAGTACTTCAACGTATAGCGGCGTTGGTGCTGGATCTCGTTTTAAAGGAAAATGCCAAACGGATCGGCAGAATATTAAGTAGAATGGTTGACCTGATTTAAGGAGCTCCGTAGTGACGTCTAATATATATTCATCGGCCGCCAGGGGCATAGTGAAAGCGTCACCTTGAACAATGCAATATAAGGAAAACTCCTGTTGTTCAGCTTCCGACTCCACACTCAGTAATGCACATAGTTCGGCAATAACGTCAGCGACTACAGTAGAGCAGCGAGTGTTTACTACGCGTTCCGCCCCTCCTGGTAGACGATAAATTTGACGACGCGCCGAACGTCCAGCTGACACAGCAGTAACTTCCTCAACGCTAGGCACGTTCTTACGCCCACCACAGCGCGCTGTTTTACGTAAATTGGCTAAACAAACTGCGGCGGTGCCATGACAAGAGCGTCGTCGATCCGAAGCTGCTGATGTCAAGTGTTCCATTAAGTAAGGGCGTAGTGCATCTGAACAACCAAAATATGCTGCTAAAATGCTCAGTAAACGCCATGCGCGTTGAGCGGAATCCGGGCATGGAGACCGATTAGCGGTCGTTTGCTTCATCAACTGACAGTATACTTCGTCCCGCAGCGCCAAATATTTGTGGCAATGCTATAATTTTTTTAATCATATTTGAAAGCTGACCCTAATATTTTTGTTTTTTAACATACCATGAGCACAGTGTAAACGCATTTAACTTCAGTAAGCTCAGGATCGTGCGGTATATCGCCACAATAGCGTAAAATACATTCAAAACATTCAAGCGCCAAAGGTGCCAGATCATTAGGTAACCGCAGCAACGGCATACGAATCGGAGTTCCTTGCCATTTCACCAAATCTGCATAAGAAGGTGTTCTACGATCGGCATGATCTCGAACGGCATCGCGATTATTCACACGACCTTCAGGGTATTGACTGAAAAGTGAAAAGTTCTTTAGGATATAAGATAGATTGTAAAAGAATATGTTAATAAATTCCATTACTCATTTCGGAAGTGTTGCATGGCAAATTGAAGAAGAGAATATTTAGTTACAGATGGCGATGGTCCACTGCTGCCATTTGGTTCCTCTGTCAAATAATTGGCATCAAGCTGATGTGACATCGAAACGTGATTGCTACCATGTTGAAGTTGATGTTGCTGCGTATGTTGTTGTTGGGTATTCGACGTTTTACGAACAGGATGCAGGTAACTCGATTGTTTTGTGAACTGATGACGGTCCGCATTAACTGTCGTTGATTCTGCCTCGCTATCTAATATATGGTGTGCGTCCTGATGAACATCGACCTCTGTGTCGATACTATGTCGCCCATGTTGCATAGCAACTGACTTCTCCACGTTAATTTCATGGCCACTTGCAGAGGTCATTGCTGCTACATCGTTATGGTTATTGACCGCGTTTCCATGTTCACGGTGATTGGATTGGCGCGATTCCAATCGTTCAATGGGAACATTGAGTGTTTGTGCAGCTGCACGAGCACCCGACGACAATGTAGATGCTTTCGATTGGCTCTGAAATTTGGAAAATAAATGTTACCATTGTGAAGTCATTCATATATTAGTGGTCAAAAACTGGTCTATCGAGGCAAGTGTGAAAGCTGTACACCACTTCAAGAAAATAAATCATGCAGTATTAAAACAAACTGTTGAAACAGTAAACATAAATGTTAGTTGAAGTGTGTATGCACGTATATTTGTGACGGGTTACCCACGCTCTTTTGCATATTTAACTATTCCCAGCGCTGTTTGATCGAACCGTCAAGTTTCCGATCAGGATATAAATATATTATATATACAGGCATGTGTATACACGGGTGATACTTCCTCGTTTGGAGTCTGTTCGGATTTTTTTCCGGTGTTTTGTATATCTTAAATTTGTCACATAGCTTAAAATTTGTACCGAGAGGTTTTTTATATTAATGTTTAGCAGTAAGAAAACCGCTTAAAAACCAACTATGTCAGGGTACATTAAGGAATATTAAACAGGAAAAAAACAATAACAAATCAATTCAATCCTTCTTAAATATTGTATAGTTGCAAATTATTTTTTGGCAAAAAAGAAACAGAAAAGATATGTATATATTACATACTTGTTAGCGTATAAAAACTTCAAGACCATCATTTTAACAGCCCAACTTATTACGTGAAAAGGATTTTTATTAGATGAGATATTTTTCAAACTGTATTGTTAAATGATCATGGCAAGAGCACGAACTGGGCCAGTTCATCCATCAGCTCAGCGTGTGTGACCGTTATGGTGCGTCCTAGTGACTTCACAGCCTAAGAGCATTTTATACTAAGCAATTACACACACAAATTCATTCGTGGAAACATTTATGGTGAATTGGTATATTACATATGTATGCACATAAGTACATATAGACATATACAAGTACAATGAACATGTTTATGCGTCCAAATACATCTTAAAGTGGTGCTTGTGCGTTTTTTACTAGTGTTCATTGTTAACATATATGAAGCTATAGCTCACGACTCACGGTACGGGCACCGAACCGCTTCAACAATGCATTTCACCTGTACGCGGCACGTCCAGTGAGAAAATTAAGACTGTGAATTTAATTTCATTTATTCTCGTTCACTTTGATAATGAAAAATATATATGTTGCATGTGTGTGATACAACACAACGGCTTTGAACCAGTCTAAAGTGTGAATTGCGGTTTGCGCCAATGCACCAAAATGACCGTTCAGTCACAACACTGACCATATTTATAAACTCATGTAATTTCGTTGCTATTCGGATCATTTTCATGCACCTGTAACTTTCTATTTCACATTTTCAATTTAATTATTTTATATTCGAAATGTAGAATTGAGCTCTGCTGTGTTTGCATCTCAGCTCATTAATTTGGTCTATATGCATCCCAGGGCATGGACATATGTAAATGAAACATCATATAAGCATATATGCATGTACATAAAGGCGTTTAAATATGTGATATGCAAGCTTATATAAAAAGCAACAATGAATAACATATGTTTGCATGTAATACTAAAGAATTAAAAGAATAATTAGTTTTGAAGTTCAGCAAAGGAAATTTCAGACCCGTTTCATACATCATTAATATTATTGTTAAATGGTAATGCAATTACTTTAGTATCTAAAAGCACACTCGAAAATAGATGTATGTATGTATCTATGTATATAGTAGAATTGTGTTAAGTGCAGTAGAAGGAATATTTAAAAGTAACAAATAGCTGCAGATACTAATTTTACCTCTGTGAGGCTCATTGTTTCAAATCTTGCTAATATTTCTTTGACAGATACTTTGCAATCGCCAGGTTCTTCAAGAATGGTTTCCATTCGACCAACAGAACCACTGCTTGCCAGGCTTGGACGTCGCTTAGTTGAAATTTGCTGTTGATTATTGGTGTTCTTAATGTTACCGTTATGAGTATCATTAGTACTGTTTACATCATTAGTAATCATCAACGAATTTTCATATCCGTTTTCTGAGTTGCACTCTTCATGACAAGCTTCCATGTTTTCATTTCGGTTCGCCTCAGACCCATTCGTATTACTTTGTTGCGCTAATTCGAATTCGTTATCTTGACAATTTTGTTGTTTTTGTTGAATAGAACTCCACGTTGTTTCTGGGGAATGATTTATTTGCACAATCTCTCTCTTATTGTTATTATTTGCATCTCTTTGGTGTTTTCCGTTTTCATTAAGGTTAAAATTGTTATTGCCGTTACTGTTGTTACTATCACTGCGGTTACTATATGTTTCATATCTGTATATTTGGCCAAAAGTTTCATTGACATTCTTTTGACTATCACTGTCACCACAATAACCTTTATCGTCACTAGCTTGCGTCCAGCACTTCTCTTCGTCATCCTCCGCACTCCAAGCATTTTCAAAGTCAACGTCATGACTGAGAGAAGAGCATTGTTCATTGAATTCGCGAATTGTCTCGTCTGTTAATTGATCCAAATCGCTACGACGATGTACCTGAACAGCTGTTGTACCAGTTATATGTGCAATTTCCGCATCATCTGAATCGGTATAAGTCAAGTCTTGATTATCAAATACATCTTCCGCATCAGTAAGCTGATTCAAGGAATCCAAAGATGCTGTTCGCGTGAGGGTGTCATCAAAGGTTTCTAATCCCTGCTGATTTTGCTGACTGGTACATTCTACACAGGAACTTAAAGCAAATTCATCCGACTGGAACGTGCTCGTCAAATCGCTACGTCCATCTATTTGAGCCGTTAACTTCCGCCCAGGAAGTAATGCATTGCTCTGGAGTAGCTTAAAATTATTAAATTTGTCATTGTTCATTTTGTTGATCAAAGACTCAACTTTATTGACAATACTGCTGAATTTATGATGAGATGAGCCACTACTGTGGCTGCTTTGAGATTTAGAAGATGACATCGATTGCGCTTGAGATGACATTTTTGCTACGTACGATTAAATGCTTTATGAAATTTATAGTCCATTTTTCAGACACATATTCATTATACGCATATGTACATGTTTCGACGAATTTAACTCTAACTTCATTTAAATTCACTGGCACACATGTCTGCAGGCATATATGTATCTATATTTCTTTTGTTTAAATCGTATCTGGTATATTGTTTTAGTTAAATTTGCTGCAAAACAAGTGAAAGTTGTGTATGCGCACCGATTAGCACCGACCGCGCACCAAACTCTGCGCAATTAAAAGGCCGTAATTGGCTAAGTAACCGACTGAGCTGCTTCGCGGCACTGTCAACGAACTCTATGCGCGTACTAGTTATTGTCAATTGACCAAATACCAGCTGCTGAACATCGCAATTACGTTTACGCATTTGTTCAATCGAGTAAGAACGGTTTCAATATACACATCTTGTAACACTTTGCCTTTTTATGTATGTATATTCAACATGTGATGTTCACTTTTTATTATCTTTTATATATGTATATTATATATGACGCAGCGGAACTAACTGCACTTCAACCGGATATACAATAACATTGTGTGACGGTTACAAATCGTTTTATTATTTTACGTAGCTGAAAGGAAGCTGCTCAGAGCGGTTACAAAATGCGACTAGTTGCTCCACCGTCTTTTATCCCGTTAAATAAATCTAATAATACCAATTGGTAGAAAAATAAAAAAAAACTTTCCGCAGCTATGTGATTAAACGGTGAATTTTCCGCACAGCTGTAGTAGCCACTAAAGCTCGTTTGTCGCGACTAAAGATTTGAAAATCGCGGAGCACTCACTTGACCATTTCACTAACCAAGCAATCGTCGACAGAAAGCCAAGTTGCGGCATTATATAAATACATGTACACATTGTACACGTATGCATGTATGTGCGTCAGTGCATAGATAGCTGTACGTGGCTCACTACTCATACGAGTGTGTTTCAGTGCACTTTTGTCGAATCCATAGAGTCGCTTACTGTGCCCATGATCAACTTTGTGGCTTGAAAAGAGTCAGAGATTGGTGTCCGTTGTCTATATACACACATGTACATGTTTTTGCATGAATAGTGGTATAGATTTATATTCAAATACATACACAAATAAGTAAGTATGTATATGCAGAACTCGCCATTACAATTGAAATGCTTTTGTCATGATGGATGTAGCGTTTCGGACGTGTGCTTAGCCCGAAAATGTGGAAATTTAATTGAATGAACTCTATTTTTTAGTTTAATTGTGATGCATGGAAGCTTTTATATTTTGTTTTGTAAGTATTAATGCATTAATGTATTCATGGATGCATGATGTTTACAATATTTACAACTTCGTTCACATATAACATATGCTTTATTGGCATATAGGTGAATATTTAGTGCTATAAAAAATTTAACAGGCTTACCTAAACAGTCATAACTGTTGATTGCAAAATATTTCATCTTTAATATGTACATACCTTTGTGATATAAGTATGTGGAGAATTTTATAATACAGAGATACAAACATACATGCATATGTAAAATACAAAAAGTCTTGTGGCCATGAAACTTTGCCTTCTTCAAATACTAGCTGTTATCATTTGACACTTTTGTTTTCATTGTAAAATTTATGAATAAACCTATTTGATTCGTGGTGTCTTCAAGCCGGTTTTTGTGTGGCGCAATTGCATAGGATGCTTTAGTAATCAGGCGCTTTGTAATCATCGTTTGTTTACAAATTTTGTTTGCCGGGCATTTTACTTCAATCAGTTATAGTCAGTGTGTATATATTCCTCCCTTTTAACTCTTAAAATATCTAGTTTTTACTATTTTTAGACACATCAATTAGTATAGTTTTTTAAATTCTGCCAGGTATTAATATGAATATTATAATAAGCAGCCTTTTCATGTGCTATTGAACAATTTTTTTATATACTCGTAGCTACATAGTTGATGTATGTGAATTATTGATCCACTTACCTTGCGATACTCCTGAACAAATGTGGTAATCATCGCCTGAATAGAAGCCGCACGAGCTGCGTGCAATGCCAAATGTTCTCCACTGCGTAAATTTAACTGCAATGATGCAGGTCGAGGCAATGTGATTGCATTTTGAATTTCGCTCAATGAAATGGCTTGCACAACAATCAGATATTCTGCATCACGGCGTGCTAAGTAAATGCCATTGTGCGAAATACCCATTATCGAAACATCGGGATACTGGGGAGCGCCCTGTACTGCAAATAGACGAGCAAAATACAGTGGCCAACCGCGTGCCATGTCGATGAGGTGACGTTTAACTAATGCTCGAACATTTTGACTACATATTGTTTCAACTGTTACGCCATGCCCGTTCAGCATACTCACTGCCACAGATTTCTCTTGCGGAGAAATGCGTAAACAGGGAGTAATTCCAAAAACGTCGGATACCACCTGTGAGAAGAGTAAATCTAATGCAATAGGTGGGCCTATAGGTTCATTCGGATGGAAGACTTCTTTACGGACACGTAATCTCCATGGCACCCTGTTATATGTGAAACATGCGGTCGCTGGGCTTTTAATGGAAGGAGGAGCTGGCACAGGAGCTGGTATAGCTGGTAATGGCCATTCGTCGCCACCATCAGTCTCTTCTTCGCGCCGTGTACTTTGTGACAGTTCTGTGGATGCTGACGATTTTCGCTTACGTTCTTTTTCATATTTTTGCGCCATATGTGTTCGAAATGTGGCGGGACCAGTGATTGGGGTTGGATTCATGTTGTTTGAAGTTGTGTTTGCTTTCTGGTTGGAGAGCAAAGAAGGTTGTGAAAACTTACGTTCCATTTGAGAAACTATGGATGATTTATCGGTGCGTTCGGCGGTAGCCATTATCACCTTGGGTGGCGCCGGATGATATACTTTATTGCTCTCTTTTTCACGTTCAACTTGTCTTATCTCGTAGATACGTTCTCGTTTTTCACGCTCCTTTTCCTTTTCTCGATCGCTGCCACTTGAAGAAGGACCTTCAACTTCCGCCCGATCCCAAACAGATTCTGAAAAGTCATCGCGGTCTCGGGAACGAGATCGTGATCTAGATCGTTCCCGTTCATTTTTAATTTCTTTCTTAAAACTAGTTTCGTACACCATATCTAGTTTGGCTGCTTCGGCACGTCCCCAAGAGTCATAAGTCTCCTTCGAATCATCAGAGCCATTCCAGTTATGGCGAGCTCCGAATGTGTCTCGATCTTGACGTTGTATAAATGCTGGAATGTCTTTACCATTTTGACTACGGAAGATAACGTCATCTTCCTCAAAATCGAGTAGGGTAGGTGGTGTTTTCGGTGCTGGTGGTGGAGCTGGCGGTGCAATCGATGGGGGACGTATAGGTGGTGGTGGCGCCGGAACGCTTGGAGCTGGGGGCACACCAGTGGGCCAAATTGGTGGGGGAGAAAGCTTACCCTCCATACGCTCAATTTGGGAACGCACTGAGGGCAAGTCCTTATCATGTTTATTTTCAAGATTCAGAAAATGTCCACTTAATTGCTGCTGTAACATCAGTTTTCTTGTATCCTCAAGTTTAGCTGGAGTTCTCTGTTCTGACTTGGTACTAACTGTTGAACGGACAGAATGACCAGCAGTTACTTGTTCCAATCTTTGACGCATTTCAGAACTTAATTTTAGTTTCCCAACACTTCCTGGTGGAGGCCTTTCAGCACCAATTTCGAAGCTCTTTTTAGCCACTTTCGTCGTTACTAATGTTTGCTGTTGTTGCTGTTCAATAATCTCTTTGTTAGAAATTTTATTTCCGGTTGTTTCGATCTTAAGAGTTGTTCGCACCATTTGAGCATGAATTTGTGGCATATTGGAAACAGGGGACGGGCTCTTAGATGTATCGATTTCGAATTCCTCCCATTCCATTGCTGACCCAGTCAATGAACCATTACTGCTGTGAAACTGTGATTGAGGCGTAGTTTTTCGTTGAGATTGCCGGATTTTGAAAGCAAAAAAGTCTTCCTCAGTTTCAAACTGAGGGGCGTCCTGTGGTGGTGGCCAACGCCACTTGCCTATTCTTACTGTCTTCGCTCGACCATAGGGATCAAGAAAATGTCGTGTTTCTGATGGATCTTTAGCTTCTATAGGTGGAGGCATAGGTGGAGGCGGTGGAGGTGGTATTAGAGATCCTACACTTTCTGAGGAGGCTTTTCTGTTTCGCTCATTCTCAGAAAATTGAGATATTCTATTTTTAACACTTTGTTTTCTAATATTATTTTGAATTACTGGTGGTGAAGGATTTACGTTAGTCATTACATTGTTTGTTATGTGACTGGTTTGCTGAACTGTTGTTAACACGGGTACTAAGGGTGGAGATGTTGTACCCGTAGGTGCATCCTGCTGGCTGAGTAATGTTTGTAAAGCTTGATTCTGTGCCAATAATTGCTGTTGAATTTGCAAGTTTTGGGCCATTGCAGATTGTAGAAACGCACGTTGAACTTGTTGTTGATATAAGTTTGGGTCCGTATCAGGAGGAATATTAATCATTTGCATAATATTATCCGCATTTGTAATCAAGGGACTTATTGGACTAACGACCGGTGAAGTGACGAAACTGGCATTAGATGTAGATTGCGTGTGTGTGGTACCACCTCCTTTAATGATCTCTATTAGTTCAGCTTGTTTCGTTAATGTGTTAACTGCTTCATTGATAAATATCGGCTTAAATAGACCTGTTATGTACTCATCCAAATTATCAGTAGATGATTCGTCATTACCATCCTTTTTATCGCCACCGCCTTTAATTTTTTCGCAGAGGGCATCCACATTTGTAAAGAGGTCCACAGACGATTGAAGAGTGTTTGGTGCTTCTAAAAACTCGTAAATATCAGAGCAGTTTTTAGTATTCTCTAATTGTTTCCGTCCGCCTCCTCGTATGCTTGCTGCTAACGATCTTGCGTCTGATAATTCATCCAAAGATCCATCTAGTACAGGACTAAATAAATCGTCAAGGAATTGGTCGACATCCGAAGCTTGGGATGGTACACGTACGCGGCGAACGTGCGAAGCCAACGATGGTGCTTCACTCGTGTCTGACATTGCCGACGAACGAGTTGCATACTCGGATTTTTCCATGTATTTGCTAGAGTGAGAACCAGCATGTGATCGACGACCGGCATGTTGCGATTTTTGATAGCGAGGGCCAGTTTCTTTCCCCATGGGTGTCAAACGCTCTGCAGAATGATACCTATCATTTAGTCGACTTTCAGATAAACCAAGATTTGTTAAGGGTTCAGGTTCGGGAGTTGGATCGAGATCCGCAACGTCTCCGGCTAGTAGGTCATCTAATGATTTTGATCTATTTTTTTCTTGCTCAAAATATCTCTCATTAAGTACGGAGCTTCGTGACAGCAAGTCTCGCGATGTTTTCCTCACTGGCGGCTCTATTTTAGGCTCGGCGATAGGGGACTCTTTTGATGTACTCATTTTAGCTTTTGGTGGTTCTGGGGGTGGAATTTGCGGCCTTTTAGGGCTATTTGATTCAGATTCAGGCATATTTGTTCGCACAAACTTGGCACCAGTTTTAAAAAGATCACTCCGAACTGCAGGGAAGGCTGGACACAATTCTTTCTCTGAGATTAAATCTAAAACATAATCCAAACCACATGAATCAGTGATCAACTTTCCATCATCTAATATGACTGTCCAACCACGATTTGATATCCCGAGAGTTGATATAGCCAGGGAGGCTGCTTCCTCACAAGTAGTCCAAGAATCAATTGCTACGGTTTGAGAAGTAGCGTCTGGCATCGTCAAAGATACTGCGATATCCGACATTTTGGAGATAGCTCGCCATTCAACCCATGATGGTACGAAATTTCGACAAGTATTTGCCTGCGTATTGTTTGAATTGCGCAAAATTTTTTTCAAAAGGAGTTCTTTCATTGATGAAGGTGCATTGTCCATTATAAATTTCATCAAATATTTACTAAATGCAGGACCAGGTTGAAAGCATGATAAACAGTGTGCCATCAATTGCCAAATACGTTGGGAGTAGGACTCCTCTGCATTATAAACTTGATTACATAGTTGAACCAATATCTCATCTCGTAACCCGCGAGAGGATAATCCTTTGTGCACAATATAATCAGAGAGAACTTTTTCTTTATTCCCATCTAAAGTCTTATCATTTGTCCATCGAAGGATCAATTTGAATACCGCCAAAGAATCTTGAAAATCTTGGTCTCGGGAAGCAGCTCGTGTAAGAAATGGTGTTGCAATCGGTTCTCGTCGTGGTGCTAAACGCATACCATTGCAATATACGGAGCTGAATTTACCAAAAGAGAATTGATCCAGATCCTTTGGCAAATCTCCTGCTACAGGAGGTCCTGGTACGGTACCAACTACTTTAACAAGATGGCGATCGCCATGCACAGGAGTCCAACCGTCTATCTTTGAATAAATAAAAGCTAGTTCCGCTGGTATGTCCAAATAAGCTACTTGGCTTCGCTCTATATGCTCTTTGGCGAGTTTTTTGGCCTCTCGTTCTTTCTGTGCTTTCTGCATTTCCAATCGTCGTTTATAGTCAGCCTTAAGTTTAGCAACTCTCTTTCGATCCATCTTACCGCGCCATAAGGACTGAACCTGAACTACACTCTTCTTAAGCTGTGCATATTTGTTGGATTCACGATGTCCACGCCATGTTGATTGAATCTTTATAGCAGCTTTCTTTTTGCGGAATATATGACGTCGTACCAACATGCCGCGAACATTCTTTTGTATAATAATTGCTGCTGACTTGAGGCGATCTGAACGTCCACTTTCTAACATTCGATGAAGAGCTTCTCGTAGAAATACACGGGTTGCACCTAGTTGAAAATCGGGTCCTTCTATACCGGTACGTGGAAGAGACTCCAATAAAATACGACACAATTCACGATATGGTGTACCACGAGGAAGTGGCGTACGTAGAAGGTGGCGATACCTCTCAACAAAGTGTTGAAATTTCAAACGAACTGGATAACCTTTTTGCCTAATTTGAATAGTATCAAGCATACCTAAATAACGTAGTTGTTGTAGAACACAAGGCATATCCATCTTCAATGCATGTTTTTCGTTATTCGGTTTAATGCAGCGCACGAACCAAGGATTGCAGCGCCCCATTGATTGAAGAAGTTGCTGCAGTGAGTCGGAGAATCTAGCCGCAACTGTGGGTGTACGTGGTTTCATTGTTACAAATCGACCATTGCTTCCCTTTGGAAGAGTTTTGCCGGAATCACGTTGAGCTCGCAATTGCTTTGTTAGTTCAACCACTAACTGCAATTTGCTCGATCCTAACAGTTCCAATACATCACTTCGTAAAGCATCTCGGTTCTTATCTAGAAACCCATCAACGCAATACCATACTTGGCCAGCGTAATGTGTTATACCGAATTCTTGGGCACCTATTCGTGGTCGGGAGTATAACTCATTAAGAGCATGATTGTAGTGACACTTCTCCAAGAAACTCATATCAGTTGCTCGAGGAAAATTGGATTCGTCGTCTAGTAAATGAAATATTCCAACCGGTTTTTTAGCCAGCAAATGAATGACTGGTAAGTTGTCATCCCATGTAAGTGGTGTCCACTCAAGTCGTTCGCGTGAATATTCAGCTTGTTCCAGTTTAAAAACATGTTTATTGAAATATAGTTGCAGATTTTCATTGGCGTAATTTATACATAACTGTTCAAATGAGTTCTCCACAAGATCTTCGAAGCCAAATATATCCAAAATTGATATGCGATGGGCGTCATGGGTGCCACCTTTCTGTACTATAGAGTTTATTCGCGATACCAACCAATTGAAAAGTCCAGCATATAATGCTTTAGCAAAGGCGTCTCGAGAATCAAGCGCCTGATCAATACCTAGTGGAGTGTGTAAACGTTCCGATCGAGCCTCGGTAATTCGACTAGTTAATGCTCTGTGAAGTCCATCGGCAGATATATGTAACAAATGTGCCGCCCATTTGATTTCAGCATCAGACCCAACTTCAACACCTTCTTGACCATGACGTAGTTGGCGACGGTGAAAGTACACATTTCCCAAGTGTAGCACCGCTGCCAATACTCGTATAATCCCCTCGCGTTCACCTTCTGAAACACCTAAGACTTGCATGGCGCTTTGAAGAGAGTCCCAATCCACTCGTCCGGGTGCGCAGTCTGTAGCACCTTGATTTAAGTAAAAATATTTATCAGCTTCAAGCAGACCATATTTTGTCCGCTCAGTCTCCGACAGCCCACCAAGCATCTCATAGAAAACGTGATAATTTCTCTCTCCAGGCGCCTGTGTCACAATACGCGACTTTTCCAATAGGTATTGCGTAATTTTTGCACCAACAATTGCCCCGTTTTTAAAGTAAACCTCAAGGTATTTCCCAAATCGAGAACTGTTATCATTGCGAGCTGTACGAGCATTACCAAACGCCTCTAGCAGTGGTGCTGCCTCAAGTATTTGTTCAGCTATGACGGCTGATGCCGAACCACCACCCGGAACTACAGCAGCCAAATATTGCATTACTAATTTAGTTGACTCTGTCTTTCCTGAACCAGATTCTCCAGATATTACTACCACCTGTGGTGATGGTAATGCGGCATGTGCAGCTGCGCCTATGGCAAACAAGTGTGGTGGCATTGTGCCCAACGGTTTTCCAGCGTATTTCTTCGCTACCTCTAGTCCATAAGAATCGGGAAACATTTTATATGGATTAACGGCAATTAATATGCTTCCAGCGAAAGTATAAATGAGACCTTTATCATAGCGCAAACGTAAGTTCCATAGCAATGAAGCTTCGTGTAGATCCTCCAACATTGTCATATCATCTACACCACTACTTCCAAGATCTTGTCGCGGCCGTAAATTTCCCTCGCCTGGTTGCAGTGCAAACGTCTGGGCCTAAAAAAGAAAACAGGAGTAGTATGATTAAATATGTGCATACATTCATATTATTATTATAAGCTGCTTGAAAACTAGTTTTAAATCGTCTGTATATATACACGAATGTGTAATGTTTTGGATATTCAACAGTTACGAACGTGTTTTGCTATGACATCGCTGCAAATTGTCGAAAGCTTTTTCACAGACTGCGGGTAACGATTTTTTGCTTTGCGTTCCTGATCATGTCGTTGCTTTAAGTGCACTATCGCAATTTGAGTGTTTGTAGAAGGAACGTTCTCAAGACTTGGTGGCCGTTGACGACGCTGTATGTGAGGTGATAAAATCGCAATTGACGGCGATGGAGCCGGGCTGGGTGTGATGGAACCGCACCGCTGCCATGGTTCTAGATGAAAACGCACAATACGCATGCTTATTTGCAAAATATCGAAATTCTTGCGTGAAACTACTTCTTAACAAATTTGTTAGAAAACAGACGCCGTGCGGAAACTACATGTCTACACTTTGCAATGTCAGTCAGTAAAGTGGACTGTTGTTAGTTTAAAAGAGACATCGAACATTGTCCAACTGAAGATGCCATGCAGCAACTACTCTCCACAGCACACTGCACTACACTCTTGCTAGCTAAAATGTATAACAAAACGACATACATATTAACAGCGCTGACCAAGATATGACTAAGAAACGTGTTGCTGTGTTGAGCATTCCGGTATTACGGCTAACTCTGTTGCACTGTAACAGACTCTTTGATTCAGAGCATATAAACAAACAAATATCAAACCTCCTTATGATAAGGTCCAACTATTCACAGTTGCCAAAAATTTTTAGTTTGGTAGCTTAAAGTTTTATTCTTATTGAGAAACTTAATCTGTACAATGTCATATCATTGAATATTGTAAAAATATACTTATAACTTAATTAATATACGAGTATTTACTAACCTTTCCTTTGATGAGTGCCTGCACAACAATTACTTGAGCGGCACGATGCACCTCTTGTATTTCACCTGGTATGGGATGCCCCACACCGGGGTCAAACCACACCAAATCACCTTCCACCCAATCCATTTTCCGCAAATGTCTGCCTTAGCTCCTGAGTATAGGTACAAGTCGTATTTCAGATATACGGTAGAAATTTACTTTTTTATGTTAATTACTAATTAACATAAGCATTTCTGAAAGAAACGGTTTTAAAAAAAAATTTCAATATTTTTAATAGATAAATGTTTGTAAAATTTTTTCTAAAAATAATCAAATGCATTTGTTTTAGTCATTTTGGGCGGTGAATTTCTGTTTAATCATATTCCAATGAGTCAACGATATACCATAAACACGTAGATGCCTAGCAAAAAAACCATTTTAAATCCAACGTTAACCAGCCAATAAACAAACCTTCTCACGTCGGTTTGGCACCTTTCACACTATTTACACACTTTCACCGTCACCCTACGCATACCACTGACTTTACACATAAAAAACTTCATTCATTTGAATTATTGTATAAATGGTAAATTCATTTTAAAAGTTTGCAAAACATGAAAAATATGAAAATTTATATTTTTTGTATGTGTGGGCATACATTGCTGAGTGGCATAGGTAAACTTCAATATTTTATAAATACGAGTATGATGCACCTTTGCTAGTGACACCCACCGAGAGTATCCATTATTTCATTATGTTGTAGGCTGGAATATTTATCGGAGGCGGTACAAAATGGGTGCAGTCCAATCATTGAATTAGCAATAATTAATATCACACCGAATTAACTGTTTGAGTGCCTTATCGGCATATTTTACTTTCTATTATATTTACATTTCAAATAAAGCACACTATAGAAACTAGCAACCTTTGCGCCTGTTTATTGAAATCAATAGACTGAAGACACAAACTTCCTGACCTTTTTTATTCCCATTATCAATTGCAATTATGTATTTACAATTTCTTGCCAAGAGAAATCAAACAGCAATCTCACTCACTTATTTAGTATTCCACTGTACACTCGTAGTTCATTTGATCTTTTATTCTAATTTAATTTCTGTCTCTTTTAACACTCAACACTCTTTTTAAACAGTGATCAGAGCTACCACTGACCTCGACAAATACTTTAAGCCAATGAGCAAGAAATCGAGAAATAAAAAGACTTTCACCTGTTTGGGTTCGTGTTAATTGTGGAAGTAGGTTTTACACATTTCACTGCGTTTAATCGTGCTTAGATAACAAAACACCGAAATATATTTGTCAAATTCCTTCACTCGTATATTCAGAATGCAAACTGGTAAGATTTTCGAGTTGACGTAGTCTAACCGTATGCATACCGATCATCGGGCAAAGTAAAGCCGGAATCGGTGCAGAACTTGTTTTTATGGACAGCTGAAATTTGAGTGCTAAATGCTCTTTGAACAACAGCTATGTAAACTGCTTGATACGATACGAACAATACAATGATACAAGTGGTGTAAATGAAGAGAGGATATTTTCAGGCGAAGTAGAGAGTTGTTTTTGCTTCACTGGGAGCGCCACCATTGAACATCACCGTTTAACATTGTTGTTCGACCACATTCCAAAGCTAAAATATCAGCACTTGGGGTTGGGAAAGAATAGATCAGAAAATTAAATATGCTCTACGATTTTTATTATTATTATTAAGAATATTTTTAAATTATTGTGTGAATCACGAAATCACTTTGCTATCCACTCACATACAATTTGTATACTTGTATTTGTATTTAAAACGCAAAAAATATTAAATTCCAAGTGCATCTAGTTTTGAGATAGTAAAACAACCATAACTTGCAGCATAATTTTAATAGTGGGAGCGGCGAAGGCGCGTTTTGTCTGCATCTGCCCAATTTATTGTAAACTATTTACTTCGTAGGTTTTTTAAAGCTTGACAAAAGCTCAAGGCGAGCATCTAACGAGTATGTAAGAGCTAATTTTGTAAACGTGTGCAGGAGGAGATTCGCAGTTTTAAAATATGAAGTACTTTCAGTCTACGAGGAAGATGATAAACATAGGAGGGGGTAAATATATGTGCCATTCAGTTCATCTGCATTTCTATTTAATTTATAGTGAACTTATTGTGGGAATATAAAGTTGGGAAGTTACGTGGCGGGGCAATGTCCCAAGCTAACGTCAAATAATCGTTTAGAAAAGGCGCGTGCGCAAAGAAAGTGAATTAATTCATTTTGCAGTCAGTTTCATTTGTTGCATGCCCGCAGACCTTCGTGCATTGTGTTAGCGTTTATGCCAATTATTTATATAATGCAAAAACAAAATAAAACGTATATATTTTTTTACATAGGTGCATAAATGTTTTATGAAAAAGTACAAAAATATTAAAAAAACAAAACTCTTAATGAAACATCCAAATTGAATGTTATTGCCATTGCTGCGTTCTGCATGTTTTAAATTAGACATTGGGCACTGAATCATATTGGCAAATGCTTTAAATAGTTTTTATCAGTAACACTTGAGTGCACATCAGCTATTAACGCTTAGTTCGACACGCGACGGTGACGGGGCAAAGTAAGATCAGTGCACTTTTTCCCAAAGTCAATATTAGTTGTTAACTGCTGCGTGGCCGCATGAAATAGTCTTGTAGTTTCTTAAATATAATTAAAAAATATTTGTACCTGTTAAAAACTATATGATAAACGGCTTAATAAGAGTTGATCAGCATTATTAAGAGAAATGCAAACTGGCCAGGCAACGAGGGAATTGAACTCTATACGCATTTTAATATATACAATTCAAATATTAGTTTCATTATTTGAAATTTTCAAACCGAATGCAAATACATATAAGAGATGTAAAAAACCGAGAATCGATGAACAGCAATGAGAGAAAATCGGACAAGTGGGTCACAAATTCCTACTCAAATAGCAGCCAATAACGGTACACTAAAACGTGCAATTACTTAGAACCCTCTGATAAAGTATACGATAGGATAAAAAAAATATGCTAGCACAGAGTTCGCTAAAAAGCTTTGTCCCAGAAACTGCATATCCTATTACTAGTCAACAGTTCTAAAGAGTTGGAAAAATATAAGTGACGCGTCTTCCACTTGTCATTTTTTGTGTCATACCGCCTCAAACCTTCGGTATGTTATATTCCAGCGATACGAATTGTTCATCAAATTGATTTACCGTTCCGCAGATGGTAGTCTATTATAAATATAGTCGCGACGGAAGCAAGAAAGTCGGTAAAGACAATGGCGGCGTAACAGCGCGAGCCTTAGCTGTCTACTTTATGTGGCAGCGCATTAGCTGCCTACAGTTTATTGCCCTTTGCGATTTCTCTGTCCATATCTTCGTCAATGGTGCGTTTAATGCAAAACATTCGATCGGTGGTGTTGTATTTACAGTCAACGAGTGCGACTGTCACTGATAATTGGTCAACAATTTGCTACTCTGTAAAGTAGCTGATACTCATGCATATTGGTGTTAAGCGGTTAAATAGTGATCACATCAAATTCATAGAAGTACCGATTACTTTACTTTTTCACATCGACGCGACTAAAAAAAAGTTAAAAACTAAAAATTTAGGAGGGTTTAATAAGAACACAGATATACTCTAAATCTCAGGTTATGATATGTAGTTAGGATATAAAAACCATATGGTAGCTGAATAGAGTTCACATATGTTTGAATGAGTATTTGATAATAATAGAAAGGTGAACCAAAGCAAGGGAAGACCTTTATTACTAATATTATTGTAAATCAAATAAACAAATCATATTAATAACTATTGACGCTTTTTAAATTTGATAAACTAAGCTTTCTCCACCCTCTCCTACTAGAGTTCCACAAACATAGCACCTGCTCTTTTGCTATCTCTCTTTAGAGCTCTCTTTGTAATATTTGTATTTAGTTGGCCCTAAGATGAGGTTAATGAAATAAAACTACACACACATATGCGATAATGATTATTTGTTGGGCACGTTTTAATAGTGTAATAGTAATACTCAAGTTGTGTGACTTAAATATTGTAGACCTTTTTTACTTTTACTCTAATATAGCTGTTAACTGTTACGGCAATTCAGCTGTCGCTGGTGGCCACTGCTTTTCTAAAAGGCATTGAAGATGCGGAACCAGTTCAGTTTTCTGCTATTATTATTGCGCATGATTAACGGTTGCGCCGCTATCCTATGGTTGATTATTTAGGTAAACGTTCAATGGCGTTAAAGCGGAATTAAGTTAAGACTCCAGCAGCTAGTACTAATTGGTGTTGCAATAATTGAATTTCATAATATTGTGGACTCATCTATAGCAACTTTATCTTAAAAACGCATACTACACTTCACATTATTAAGAATTTGATGGCCTACATACTGCATTTGCTATATAATCATAGAAATTGGAAAATTCAACAATTTTAACTTCCATAAAGTTCTCACATTTCCTTTATTTATTTAAAAAAGTTTGGATAAAAATAAAAACGAAAACAATAGTATTATAAGCTATAAAACTGTGTACATACACATTCATATGTATATGTGGTTGTACATATTGTTTTACACACGAGATCAGGTCACAGCAGGGCTTAAAAAATACATACTTGATCAACACCAATACACCGACAACAAGTGAGATCGCAACGATAACATGAGCCACTGCCACGAAGTTAATTTTCGTTCGTTGTTGTTCAGTTAAGGTGCGATAGCATATTTCTACGTATTTACTTAAAAAAAAATGTACTGAATCAATTAGTTATTAGATATGTATAGACTTCACCGTCACACCTTTGTGCTGTAAACCAAGAATTTCGTGGGATTATATGAGGAAATGTGCTCCAAAATGGATATTTCCTTTTTATGTTTAAATTTTAGCCGGCCGTATATAAGTTTCTTTTCGTGCGGATTGACCCTTTTGGTATATTTTACCGATTTCACTACGCTTATATGTGTGCGTTTTTAAGAATGAACATTCGTTTCCACACATGGATGTGGTTGTTACAGGAAAGTGATAATAATATTTTACTCTTATTCACATGTAGAATTCTTTCATTCACTGACCAATATTTGCTTTATTTATGTATACAGCTTTGTACTTGTGTATGTATGCGTGCGTCGTTTAATATATCTTTTCAATCCATTACACTTCTTTTTTTCTAATTAATTTGCGACGAGCACACACAACGAATCCGTTCGAATGTCAGCAGGTAACTAAATCGTTGAAACCATCTCGATCAGAAATAACTTGTTACGGCTGCCGCCATAACTTAAACTGTGGAATGTAGGCAGGTTCTTAGCCGACGTGATTTGGAAGACAGCTCACTACCAAGTTGCTGGCTCACCTGTGTCTCACCAACTCACAATAGCATATGTTTATTGGGTTGAGTTGAGACAATAAAGCGAAAATTTCTTCAGTCATTCGCTCTGTGTTTCTGTATCTGGGTGGGTAAGTGAGTTAGACACGTAATGTGTGTGCAGTGCGGCTTACGGCTGCGCTCAGTATGAGAGCATACATTTATAAGCTATTGTAACTAAATTCGTGTACCTACGTCAGTAGAGACTTAGCTCATATTACCATCAGGTTTTCACATCCATATGTTCAATTCGATAAATCGGTGCACATATCGATTTATGAACCCAATAAACGGTTAAATAAATTGTTTGCCACATTTTTATATACTTTATTAATTTAAAATAATTACACATTATAAATTGAAGGTAATGCTTTTTATAGTTATATTAGAGAACTTGTTACAATACTTTCTATTAAATACTTGAAGAATGTTGGCCAAAAGTACAATAGTTACGTACATAGGTAATAGATAAGTAAATGTGCTCATATTGAGATTTTTGCTTTAGCTTGTATAATTTTTTTTTATCTACCTCTTTTGAGATGTATCGTCAGTAAAATGTTGTGCTAAAACTAAAAATATAAGTATCGTAAATTTGGGCTTGGCAAAGCATTACTATTATATGCACACCTACATACATCATCGAATTTGCACTCTATAATTAGCTGTTTTAGCTGTTACCATACAATTAAAATTGTAATTTTTGATAGCTGCTTCTGGATTTGCACATGTTTTATATATTTTTATTACTATGATGTATGTTAATATTTATATCTAAAGTTTCGTATACGGATTTTCATTTCAATAAAAGATTGTTACGCTTAATTCAAATTATATATATAGATGCCTACATATTATCGTATGCAATATTACGTATACATTATTGTTAATTGCGTATACACACTATGGAGCAAAAATGAACATATAAAGTGTAACATATAAGTGTTATGCTTTTTAAGCTTATAATAAAAGATCTCCTAGGTAAATGAACTTGAAGTGATATTGATTAGGATAACTTAAATAAATATATTAGAATCAAAGATAAGTTATCGGTAATTTTATATAATTTTGTGGGAATTGTAAAAATATTTAATACTTCGAATGAAATTACATTATAATTTTAAGGTATTGACAAAGCATTTCAAGTTTTAAATTTATTGATAAAAATATGTATCTTAATATATTTCACAAGTGAATTTTTATGTTCACTTTTGCTCGTATACATGTGAAGTGTGGTATGTTAAACCGCCTCAAGGACTAAGGTCCTGATGTAGAGTATGGTCGTAACCGCCCATACTGTTATCATATTGCTGTTGATCGTAACCGCCTGACCCCATGGGGTACCCCATAGAATCCTGTGGAGGTGCTGGTGACATCATAGGTGTAGTGGTGCCACTTGGTGGGCCGGCCATTGAATATGGCGAAGCACCAGCTGCCTTCTTAGCAGCATATAAATTGGCCTCTTCCTGTGCCTTACCTATGTTCTTTTTGTATCGAATGCGTTTGTTACCGAACCAATTGGAAACTTGGGAAACCTTAAAAAATATAAAATGTTACATACTAATGTTACAACTTTTTACACATAATTTTGGTATTATAAACGCACTGTTATTCCACACTTTCTCGCCAACTCTTCTTTTGCTTCCTCAGATGGATATGGGTTGCTCAAGTGACTATAGAAATACTCATTGAGAATTTCGGAAGCTTGCTTACTAAAATTGCGTCGCTTACGTCTAGCGTCCAGAAATCGAGATCGTAGTATCATTACAGCTTCACACGTCGATTGTTTCAACTGCATTTGAATAGAGCTGAATTTTTTGTGAATTATTTGGACCATGCGTTCAATTTCCTTAGGTGTAATTGGCCTGTAAATAGAGAATGCTCGAGAACCATGTTTTATATCCTTACAAAAGTTACTCACCTGGTCCTACTTTGTTCTCGAAGTAAGTTCATAACGTGTGTAGTGAATTCATTGCACGCCTGTTCATATTTCTCCAACTCTTGATGATATATCTGACGAATCTGCGCAAGCTTTGCTCGATAATCTGAATGCTCAATTGCGTTGTCAGCTCCATCGATCGACAATGAAGATCCTATTTTATAAACATTTAGTGTACAGCAAACTATATATATTATTGAATATACCTTGACTTGCTGCTGCTGCCGAAGCGGCCGCTGCACCGCCGCCACCTTTTTCTGGTCCTGCAACACCTTCTGCGATAAGCATATTATCCAGACGCATTAACTGTGGATCTGGTGGTTCTTCCTCTTGCGTATTACGAATGGAAAGGACTTCGCAGAAAAATATTTTGAAATATTAAATGACAAAATTTTCATATACATATGTACATATACTATAGGTATTTATTTTATAAATTTAGGTATTTATTTAATAAGTTTTACTAATTATTTTTTATATATTTCGCCTAAAATCGAATACCTTGAACTAATTGTTATAACATAGAAACAAAAGCAGACTAGTATATCGAGAGAGCAGCCCATAGCAGGTGGGAGAATTTATTGTTATATTTAGGTTTTTGTATATTTATTTTATGGTTTCACTTCGTATAAGCGCATAATATTGCAGATTCACCTTTGCAACAGATAATGAAATTTAATGCACAATTTGTATTTGCCCAGTTACTCAAGAGATTTGGTCTCAATTTGCATTAAAAATTTGAATTTCAGAAATACGCATGACAATATGAATAATTTTGTTTCGGTTTTCAAATAAAAATAGAGAAAACAAGGACTCAATACTGCATATGTTGCAAACATTTCATTCATAGCTAACAACAAGGTACTCATAAAGTAACATCCTGTACCATTACATCGTTTGCATAGCCCACACCCAAATCATTTAATCTAAAACTTGTGCGAAATAGCCCGCAACCATTCAGAACGCACATCCGTGTATTGTGGCTTGCTATCCATATTCAAGGGATGAACAAAGGCAGAAATAGACCAACAGACAGACAAGAAATACAAACGCATCATAACCCCAACCATCGGCACGTACGGCACACGGGGATGGTCCCTGAGCTTGCAAAGTAGTTGTGTGCCAATTTAAGATTAGATTAAAAAACTTTAGCTTTCGTTTTCTTACTGTATTCCTTTGTGTTGCCACTATAGATTCGCATTGCTTCGCTTGCTTCTCCTAGTGTTACATATGTATATAACAAAGGATGCACAGGCAATGAAACACACGCATTTGCTTAACCAAGTTGGCAAAATTATTAAAATGCTGTGTAGATTTTGCATACAAAACATGATTAAATTTGCCAGGTAGAACTTATAGCGAAGATACATACCAAAAAATTTAAGAAACTGCAATATCCATAGATATGCTCATTGAGTCACAAAATTTGTGGTCAGAGAGATGTTGAAGAGAATTTCAATATCGGTTTTACCTAATTTACGGAATATGGGATATTGAATTCAAATAATATCGTCTGTTAAGCAGAACATTTTATTAATAACAACCATACTAATAACCATTAAATTGTAATATCGCAATTTTAAAAGACAATTATTGATCTGTACACATATCTGTATACATATGAATATCAAATAAACAAATGAGGTATATACTTTATTCGAGTATATTTTAAGCAACTTTATGGGAGAAGCGTTGTCGCGTTAATATAAATTCTGCCACAGCAAGTAGGCGCGACAAGATTTAACATTACAAGCAATTTGCATATGCCTGCTTAAACTACACAGAGTCAGGAGGCATTGAATATTAAACCGGATCGATGCTGCAGAGTTGCGGTGCTGAACTTGAGTTTGAACGATGCAAACTGACAAGTAATGAATAAACATTTAAAACAACTTCTGCATTCTTGATTCTTCTTGACAAAAATGGTTTGAGAAATATGAAGAATTATGGGGCGGACGAAAAACCATTAAATGGTGCTTGATATTCTGTTTCGGACTTGTTTACTCTTAAATTCTTAGTTAGAAAGCAAAATATGTAAAGAGTTGACATTCAAAGCTGTGAAACCCATGTTTGCTTAGCATTAGTACAAAACAGACGTAAAAATACAAAGCTTTCAAAACGATTCCCTATAAAAGTAAAGTTGGAGGCTTGTGCAGATAAATGATATAGAACCTTTAACAATATAGTGTATTATAGGCATTTTTTTGAAAACAAAATCCTACTAATTTATGTTATACATGTAATTTTTAAGTGCATTTAATATTTTTGTATATAAAATGTCGGCCAGTGACATTCAAAATCAGACTTCTATATATTTTTTTTTTTCAAGCAATAACTAAAAAGTATTACATGCAATTTAATATAATAGTTATTTGATTACAAATTAAACGTACTGTTATAGTGTTTCTTTTATCTGATGATTTCAGTTTGCAGCTAGGAACCACCTTTTGTCTTTAATATTTTTTGTTATAACCTGCCACTTCACCTTTTGCTCTTATTTTCGGTTTAGTAATATCTACGTAAGAAAATTGCCAATTGTGATTCCTGTTGTAGGACTGCGGTTGACCCATTCAAAACACATGCTACATTTTCAATAAAGTCACATAAGCGCACATTTCGCCAACAAAAATGTGAAAAATAGGGGTTGTAGCATGGAGATTTAAATACTCTATAGAATATTACATTGTGGGGCGCTGCGAACGTGCGCTGCATTTCATGAACACAGGCGACAAAGCAAATATCGTTTGTTTTGTACAATTTGTGCAAACATTTGTTGCATATTTGTTGATTATGGTGCCGAAATTTTAAATATGACAACCAAATTATAAAAGACAAAGCGATTAAAGGAAAATAATTTTTCACTTACCGGTTTTCTCCTTAATCTCACACAGTACCGAAAACAAAGCCGGCTTCATACGATGACAGTTTAAAGTGTGTTTTCTTGCCTGCGCCTCATCTAATGATTGCTCCGAAATGCTCATGATCTGCTGCAAAATTTCACCGATATCTTTCTGTTTACGCACTTCGTTTTCATTACCAGTATTTTGTCCATCATCCTGACCTGGCATACCATAGGCTTGCGGAGCCATCATACCGCCCGTATGAGCCATCATACGATTGGGGTCTTCCATATTGTATCCCGCCGCAATGCTTAAATGCCGTTTCTAAATATTACGAAAAAACACTAAACTTTAAATACATTCCCATTCATATAACATTTGTGTAAAGTGCCTCACTGTGCAAGTAATATATATTTACATATGTATGTGTGTACAAATTATTTGCGAAAAATCATGTTATTGAATATTCTTACTGCAAAGAAGGCAAACAAAGCGTATACTGTCAACGAGATTCAATTGAAAACTAAAATCAAAACTGATTATTGGGCAGCGTCCAAGCTAACGAATCAGATACATATGTTTTACGCGTGCCTGCTCTCTCGATGCTCAGCTCTTAGCTCAATGTTGTCGACATATACTCTTAAAATGAACAGCAGGCACTCAGACGCGCCACAATTGTTTTGCTACTCTCATATCGTAACAAACAAAAAAAGGAGTCAGATGAACAAAAGACATTATGCTTATGAGTATCTAATTGTTTTAATTTCAAGGATAAGGATATAACATATGACGGTAGTTTGTTGTTAATACTATTTGATAGAAGGACACTATTTGCCTCCTCCTAATTAATATAACTGGTCTGTCCCTAAGACGATAAATACTTACTGCTTGCACGAGATCTTTGCCTGTGGTCTATAATATTTTAAAATAAAGAACACATGTACAAATCATGTTAATTCAAGTGATATATTTCATCCTAATATGACTATTAGGTTTTTCCCGGATGCTGTAGATTCTGTCGTTTTAAAAAACAACCAGGCACCGTAAATAATGATTATTGTTGCGATTTTGAAATGAGAAATATCAATAAGTTAAAATCGGAATACAAAAAAAAAAAACAGATAATGGCATTTTAGTCTTTTTTAGACGATCTAAGCGTTTCCTTGATGATTAGTTAATTTCGGATTTTTATGATTTACATTATCATTAAAAATAATATCAATATCAATAAAAATAATAAAAATCATAAATAAAAGTCACAAATAATCAATATATATGATTTTTATTTTTTCAATTGCTTCCTATGGTGTGGAGGTCAGACACAGAATTGAAGCTCAAATCAACTATTTTGTAGTTTAATAAGAATCGAATCATTATAATATTGCAGACCCTTTTCGGAAGAATGTACCCTTCAGAATGAGATGCTCTTATTGTAAACAAATCATTTATGTGGGTATGCTTATTGCACATTATTAATATACCATACATTAATATCCTTATTTTTTTCTTGTCGTGTCTACGTAACCGGAACGAACGCGTATTTTTATCTGGCCAAGGACTGCCAAGACGGCAGAATTCTGCCGCTACAACAAAAAATAACAATATTCTTTATTATACTCAAGTTTGAAATTGCTGCTGAAAATACTTGGTGACATATAATATTACTTCGTAGGTGTTTATGGAATCTATTAATCATGTAATTTTCTCCTCATTTGCACAAGTAGATTTTACCTATTAACTTTGCAATAATTTTAGTCTTATGATAGGTGTACCCTAGTGGTTTTATGCTTTAAGGTAGCTCATTATCGCAACCGTATAGGCTGTGAGGTATTAGCTTTAATATCCTTTTTATATTATGATAAGTATGCTTAAGGTTTTACAGTCACTTTTACTAATTCAAATTGTAAAACTTGTTGTTTCACAACGATAATAGCGCTGTTAAAATTTTTAACCTTGAAGAATATTGAAATTATACTGAAATTATATTCTACATCAACAACTGAAAGAAAGACCGAAACGTTTGCACATATACTATTTGATAAACCTGGGTGTGGTTTGCTCCAAATGATGTGGTAACAGCATTTTTCCTGCTGGAATATAATTTGAGTTAATGTGGTAGCCAACAGTTGCTTGAATCCATGTATGGGTGACAGTTTTGGAAATTGATTTATAAAAAGATTGTGTAGTGGCGACTCGGCGAAACTTCATTGGAACACTTAAGTTTTAAAATTTCGTTATATTTTGTTTCCATTTTTTAGAAAATCTTTAAATCAAAATACTCTGTACAATTTTAGTATTTTAGAGGTAACCTGCGCAATCTGCTCTACCCATTTTGAATACACATTTACGTACGTATATTTGCTATATGTATACATCTATAATATATATAATTATTGCATTTCAATTATATTTACTTACATTTAGAAAAACGGTGAGAAATCAGATTAAAGGAAACTGAAAATGTGAAGTTGTAGACGATTAAAATAAGTTAAATAGGTAAAACACTAAATAATTTAAGTAGATGATTTATACTATGTACACAAACAAGTGCATTTGTAACCGCTGAGGAAAATAGATAGAGAAAAATCATACGAAAACGAGGAGACGAGAAACACGAAAGCAGTACCGAAAACGTTTGTAGTTTCACTTGTTAACACTAAGCTTATATAGCCACATTCGTTCTTTTGTTTCAATAATTTTTCAAACTATTTTGCGAATGTAAGAATTAGATTTAGATATTTTCTACTAACCAAATATTATCAATAAATCCTAAGCACACGACAAAGTAGAAATAGCAGAGCATCAATTGGAAATCGTTTGAAAGTATTGCCAGATGTGACCATGAATGTTGTCAAAATAAAATCCATACCATTGGGTGATGCCATATCGAAACTCAAACAATCTATTACAATTAATGGTACATAAAAGCTTGCTAATACACTGGATATCTTATATACGATTGTTTTCTTCAAATCTATCTTGTTTTTTAACTTTGTAAATACAACTAGATTATTTTTTACGTATTAATTAAAAGTACAATTAATCTTGAATTTTACTTTATTTAGTTGGACAAGCTTATTGTCTACACTTGCCCAGTAAAACATATTTTGTATAATCTTAATATTTTAAAATCATTTACATAATATTTTATTAATTTACTTATTTTGTAGTTACAATCTCAACGCAATTACATACTCTTGCCATCTAATTATTCTACTTAAAACTTTAAATAAGGTAGTGTTTCACAAAAATGTATTTAATTCTATTCATTAGCGTCTATGAAATATCAGGCTAAGCCGAAAATCCCGAAGTTACCACCAAGTCACCATTGGTGGCGAGTGGTTCATGTGTTATTAAATTCTTTGAAGAAATTGACAAATGCTTTCAAAACACTCGGATCTATAAACCGGAACGTACTTTTAGCCAAGAACTGTTTGCTCAGCAAAATTCCTGAAAACGGTTTGAAGAATGTTTTTTTTTTGTTTTGTTTACTAATGCAATAACTGGGTTTGTATATTGACTCAGACTTAGAGAAAATTAAATATTATTTTAAGTATATTTTGCCGGCAATAATAATGGCCCGAAAGTTTTTAAGTGTACGTAATTTAAAATTTCCTTGCTCTTTGTTACATAGTAAAAGGTACCTACACTTGTTTTTAGCGTTCAAAATGGATATCGTCTGTTCCTCATTTTCGTTATCACAATAGTAATATCGGATCAGCATCGCTAGATATTACCCGCACTGTTATAAAACTGGAAATTGCTGAAGTTAACTGGAGTTTTAGGACTGGGGCACTGATAGAAATCTTCACTATGTAACTGTGTTTGCGTCATATTTGGTTCACTAGCACTACGATGAATTTTCGGCATTGCCCTTAACATAGTTTCCAACATGTTTAGTAGAGGTCGAAATAGTGGGCGATCGTTTCGATCATATTTAATGCAATCCTCGGCCAAACGTTTGAGAGCTTGTGGGGCGTCTGCACGCACTTTAGTCATATCAGGTCGAAGCAATCCCCGTCCAACCATGAACAATATTTGATCTTTGTTGTTGATATGACTATAGGGTAAACATTCAGCTAATAGCTCGTATATAACAATACCAAAGGCATAAACATCCGATTGGAAGGAATATGGATTTTGTTCTTGCATGCGTATCACTTCCGGAGCCATCCATAAAATACTGCCAGTAGGTTGATTGGCTTGCTTTTCTCCAGACCAGCGTGTCTTTGCAGTGGCCAAACCGAAATCACCTATCTTAACAGACAAATCCTCATGTAAAAATATATTGTTAGATTTTAAATCCCTAAAAAAATATTCAAACGTTGTAGATTAAAGTAAATTTCGATTAAATTACAGCGGAATTTTATACCTATGAATGATATTTTTTGCATGAAGATAATCCATTCCCTGCGCCACTTGTCTACCAATATCGATTAACGTGTTGAGTTTAAACTTGGTTTCATTTACGTGTATATGTTTGTATAGACTAGAACCTTCACACCATTGCGTTACAATAGCTAACGACGGTTTAGAGACACAGCCCATAAACAAAAGAATATTGCAATGTCGGGTCTTTTTTAACATAGCCACTTCATTTTTAAATGCCTGCAACTGAACAGGACTTGGAGTTTTCACATTCAATGTTTTCACTGCCACTGGACCATGCCAATGAGCTTTATACACTGTACCAAAAGATCCAGAACCAATCCTCGGTCCAATCAAGATTTCCTCAGCTTGAATATTCTAAAATGTAAAAAAAAATATGACTAGATGTAATTTTTTCATCTCGCTTTTGAAAACCATACCCAATTTTCTTCAGAACCTTTTCCGTCCCGAGGTGACAAAAGATTTTTATTGCTTTCGTCTGCAGATCGAGCTCTTTGTCGCTTTATAGTTTTTAATGTGCCGGTGGGTGAAGCCTGTGTTGAGTTAGGGTGATCGTTACCATGATGCTGGAATTAAATATTCATAAGAAGATTAAAATTTTTATTCTTATTTCTGCAATAGTAACCTGTAGAGGAACATGATTCTGCACTAAACACCGTTGCGCCTCTGTTAATGGTCGATTGATACACACATTCGGAGCCGAGTTTGAGCGATCTTGTTGGCTAATTGTGCGAGGGTGCCTTCCTTGATTTAATATCGCATTCCTTCCAGGGTGTAATATTCCAACAAAATTTTCGGGGTTTTGTGCCAAAAGTCGTTGATAGTAGGAAATATCCATAGGAAATTGTTGACAAAGTGTAGGTACCTTATCGGAACATCTTTGATGGAACCGAAAATTACACTGGCTGCAGTAAAAACCACTAAAAAGCAAACGACGACAGCCCTCACAAAAAGCCAAGGAAAAGAATGTCTTTCTTATGAACTGGTGGGATATATGAGTCATTATTGGAAATTTATCCAATAAGCGTACATAAATTTCTTCCACCATAAGTGAACCAATATCAGTGTCCCATGGAATAATACTACGACCACTATCTGTTGCAGAAACTTCACACATATCTGGTTTTAGTTGTCGTAATTTAAGTGCCTTCATAAGCGCATCACGTAATCGGACACCTGGTACAACTTCTACTGATGTTCGCTGTTGATTAGGTAAATGAGCCCGCAACAGAACTTTTGGTGGCCGTGTTAAAGTACTACATCGACTTCCACTATTACTGTTTGCTGCATTAGAATCCGTCTAAATATAAACAAAAAACCTCCCATGTTAATAGGAATATAAAAAATTCTAAACCATATACAAACCATATCAATTGATGCTAAATGCGCATGTTGATGCGATGATTGTTGCTGATTCTGATATTGGGGTTGGTGATTGGTATATTCAAGCTGGATTTTTTGTTGATCAACTTTATTTGCTTCCTCTTGCTGGCTACTCAGTTGCTCCATAAGTTCATGTTCTTTTACGAAAAGATCATGTAGCTTTGAAGTAAGTTCTTGATATTCTGTTATATACATTGGAGGTGGCTCTTGTAAATTGGCAAACTTTGCATTAAGGGCATCTATATTTTCACGTGTAACATGTATTACAGATTGAACATTTTGGAGCTCTTCGGCAAGGGGATCGAACAAATCTCCACTGTCGTCGGTAGAAGAGGTGCTAGACATATTGGCGTTTAAATTGTCAAAAATTCTTTACTGTTTTTGAAATTATTAAGAGCACGACTTTCTGCTTTAAATGTAAAATGTATGTATTCCTATTTTTTTTATTTTTACATCTGCCCAATAATGCTTATTCATACTCCACAGTTCTGCAAAGCATAAAAATAATAGTAAACAAATATTTATGCTTTCGTCCACCTTCTAAATGTTTTAATTCATTTTATATGATTCAATTTTCTTGGTAACACAAATTCGCAAATAAGCCGGATTGTGCAAAGAAATTGACAGGGTTGCAATAATCTATTTTATTATAAGAACAAATTTTTTGGAACGTAGTCAGGAAAGGCAGATAGTTTATGGATAATAATTAAAAAGATGTACTAATACATTTTTCTTACCGCATTTTCAATTACTACTATGTGGGCTGGGTATAATTCCATCTTTAAGTCAGCTGTTTTAATTTCTTTTGGGTATATGTTATCAAATTTTTGTATACGAGATATTTTTTGTTGTATTTGACTTTGAGTTTTTCAATAGCTTTTATATATTTGATGTCAAATTACGAATTTAAGTTATTAAACCAATTTTATTAATTAATTAAATAACTAATAACTACGGATAGTTATTCATAATTTTTAAATGTAATGTAGATTAGAGCCTAATTAGTCTTACAGCACCACACCAAAGGTCTATGTTTTATCTTTTACATCCTTCGAAATTTTTAAAATCCCCAAACGTAAATGTTTTATTAACACCTTTACACTGTTTCAAAGAGTAATAATAAATTATTGTTCAACTATTTTTTTACTTCTGCTTGTATTGTGTGTGACATTGAATTTCCCCAAATATGTAATACTACATTGTTGCTGTTAAAAATGCGGACTGCAAGGATACGACTAACAGGGTTGCTTATCTCGTATTTTTGCTATTTCTGGAAACAACCAATAGTTTATTAGTTATATTAAATTTATTAATAAAAAAATCTCAAAAAATATAAGTCAGCGCAACTAATATATATTTTCTTAGTTCTTCTTCTAATATATTTTTCAGTTTTGCACATATAGTTAATTTTTAAGTTTTATAATTAAAAAAACGGTGATAATCGTGAGTGAATTGATTTAAAAATATTGTAATAAAAATTGTTGATTTGTCAGTAATTACTACGTGAACAGATATGTTAGCGGAAAATATTGTGATATTTTCAATAAATTATTTAGCATTGCAAATTTTTTTAATATGTACCAAAACAACCCAGCAATTGTAAATACCCGAAACTCCAACCCATTGAAAGAATTTTGATCCAATCTAATACGTACAGATATTTGAGAATGTGTGTAAGAAAGAGATTAATAAACATATACTGGTCGGGTAGATATGTCCAGAGAATGTAAAATAATCTATATTCTCTGATATGTCAACTTGACCATGAATTGACTTGTTGGGTTTCCTCTTCGTCGAAACAATTTTATAAAGTGAAAATTAAGTGGCAGCATTGAAATTTAGAGCTTTGCTGAATTACTTCTTATACAGCTGAATTCGTGGCTGTCGCGTTTTGTACATATTTTTTCGTCGCCAAACGTTTATGGTGCTTTATCGTGAGTTATGGAAACTAATAGATTTTTATTAAACGTTGTTGATTATTAATTGTAAAGTGTGTGAAAATAATCTATTAATTAAAATGGATGAAGGTAAGAGGAAGTATCTGTTAATTAAAGTTGCCGCCGTTTGGCAAATATATGCGCGACTTAAATATTAGATCGGCAAATTGTTTAAAGTCATTGGACTCATTATATTCATTAATTGTAAAATATTTCGTAGAATATCAGCAACAATCTTCAGCAGCGAAGAAAATTGGCAAACAACATAATACTCTGCCGCTATGGGGAAATGAAGCAACTATGAACCTCAATCCCCTTATTCTAGCGAATATACAGGGCTCTAGCTATTTCAAAGGTACGTCCCGAAAGGTACAGTAGCGAACACACATTTGGTTTTTGTCTTTTAAGGGTTTTTATAATATATTTTGTATCGCTTGTTATAGTTCATCTGTTCAAACTTAAAACTTATCATGAAGTTGTTGACGAGATTTATTACCAAGTAAAACACATGGAGCCCTGGGAGCGAGGATCTCGAAAAACGGCTGGACAAACTGGCATGTGTGGCGGAGTGAGTTTATGAAATGTAGTATTTCGTTTTAAATAAATACCATATACTACATATAAAAGTTAAATTACTTGCAGTAGTTGAAAGAGTATTAAATATCCTACTCAATAGCATTAATTTTTTATAGGTGCGAGGAGTGGGAGCTGGCGGCATAGTATCAACGGCTTACTGTCTATTGTATAAATTGTACACACTTAGGCTGACTAGAAAGCAGGTTAACGGACTTCTAAACCACACAGATTCACCCTATATAAGGGCTCTAGGTAGGTGGTAAGTCAAAAGGTGTTAACAGCACCGTCGTCACAATATCCAGATATATCAGATCAATCCAGTTCTGCTTTCGGAGGTATTATGCAAATGTAACATTTTTTGAGGAAAAATATATGTACATCAAACATTTAAAACAATGAATTATTTTCAGGTTTTATGTACCTTAGATATACTCAACCACCAGCAGATTTGTACGACTGGTATGAAGATTATTTTCAGGATGAAGAAGAAATAGATGTAAAGGCTGGCAGTGGACAGGTGAGTCGAGTGTATGAGTCAATAAGTCAATAAGCATGAATATAATTTAATCAAGCCGGAAAAAAACATAATTACTTTTTGTTTATCTCTTACTGTGTAGACTATAACTATAGGCCAGATGGTATACCAATTTCTCACTAAGCTCGATTGGTTTTCTACATTATTCCCCCGTATACCTGTTCCTATCCAAAAGCAAATAGAAAAGAAATTGGAGGAATATTGTCGCAAAAATAATATAAGTCAACAGCAATTGAGTTCAGCAAGGAATGCGACAGCCAATAGTGGAGGTGCGAATTATGACTATGATGATACAGTTTATGATCGCAGAAGTGGTGGCGCTAGTAGCAGTCGAAACAGACTTCCACAAGCAAGTAGTGGGAGTTATCGTGACGAGCATGATGACCGCGATAACTACTGTAACAGAAGACGTGAAGAATCGCCTTCAAATTCATACCATAGCAGCAGAGATCGGGATCACTACCGAGAGAAGCACAAGAAGAAACATAAGCGCAAGCACCATTCTAGAAGTAGAAGTCGTAGTCGAAGTGGAAGTCGGAATCGAACTGAACGGAAAAAAGATTTGGAGTGTGACCGTGAACGTGAGCGACACAGGCCAAAGGAAAGAGATTTCGATCGTCGTGGTCGTGACTATGAGGAGCGCAGATATCGTTAAAATATCTATTAAATTATATAGCAATAAACACAGACGGAGGCACAAAGTAAATCCGGAGTATGAAAACGGGGAAAGTGATACAATTTTCCTAAATCCTATAGCCCGAAAAAATTAAAAATAACATTTCCATTTTATAAGCCATTGTTGAACTCAGGACGTCTGTTGTCTTATACTTTCTTTATATTGTATACAGCAAATAGATATGTTGGTTTAAATGTTACAATAGTTACTGAAATTGTTTTGCTTAATACTAAAGATGATTTAATAAATAAATAAATAGCTCGATGAGGTAATTGCAAGCATATATAAAGATATTATTTATCTGACTGCGTTTTAATAAAAGCATCGTCACTTTTAGAAAAATATAATGATGTAAGTACATATCAACTAATATTATAATATGTCAAACATCAAATTTCAGATGATCGTTTTATTTTAGCTAAATTGTAAGATTAAATTATCACAGTTCTGTTACCTCTCACTTTTAACATACATATGAATGTATGTATATGTCCAGCCGGTAACATACCCGTATATAGATATATACAATTTTTATAGGATATGCACACACGTACTTGATAAACCTTTTTTAACTTATCTACATATGTATATAGTTGATAAAACCAAACCCCAATTAAGACAAAGGTGTGATTCCGAGTGATAAGAAAAGAGGAGATCGCAAGCGATTTATATAGGTAAGTGGCTCATAATAATTTTTATACTGCCAAATTAGTTCCTCAGTTTTGCGGTATCGATTTGAAATTTTTACATGTCCCACTCTCCTCAAGAAACTCCTACTTTGTCGGAACCGTCGATATCGAACCACCATAGCTCCGTTCCCTCAATAGTCGGGTCTAAGTACCTGAACGGACCCGGATTTTTATCCGTCCAAGGATTGTCAACTAAGCACCATTCCTCGCAATTACTTCAGGAATGTTTTCTGCCACTACTGCAACACCAACCACCACTGACGGGATAAAATGTAAACAAATGTTGTTGACTTTGCTAAATGTAATCAATGGTTGTGGACTTGGCGAAAATTAAACAAAAGTTAAAATGTAAACAAAATGTTCACTGACCCGATAAAATGTAAACAAAAGGGTCAATGACCCCATATGTAAAAAAAAAGGTTGTTGACTTTGCTAAATGTAAACAAAGCTTTTGGATTTGGCTAAATGTAAACAAAGGGGTCATTGACCCCATAAAATGCAAATAAAAGGTTCATTGACCTCATAATGTAAACAAAAGGTTCACTAACCCGATAAAATGTAAACAAAAGGTTCACTGAACTCAATGGTAACCAAAGGTTGTGGACTTTGCTAAATGTAAAGAAAGGTTGTGGACTTGGCTAAATGTAAACAAAAGGGTGAATAACCTCATAAAATGTAAACAAATGGGTCATTGACCTCAGCAAAATGTAAACAAAAAGTTCATTGACCTCATAATGTAAACAAAGGCTTCATTGACCCCATAAAATGTAAACAAAAGGGTCATTGACCTCAAATGTAAACAAAGGTTGTTGACTTTGCTAAATGTAAACAAAGGTTGTGGACTTGGCTAAATGTAAACAAAAGGGTCAATAACCTCATAAAATGTAAAAAAAAGGTTCATTGACCTCATAATGTAAACAAAGGGTTCATTGACTCCATAAAACGTAAACAAAAGGTTCATTAACCTCATAGACATTGATCTCGGAAGAATGTAAACAAATAGGGCATTGATCTCAAAGGGGGCCAAAATCTAGTCCTTGTATGTACATTTATATATGACAAGAAATCTTCACGAAATTATGCATGTATTATTTTCCAAGGCAACACTACAATCTACGAATATATTTTTCAGATTAGACCACTATGAAAAATAGCAACCATACAAACTGATCGATCAATATCAAGATAAAGATCTTTTTATACCCTTTTACGCTATAATAAGTGCTTCGGTCAAAGTTATTAGAGCTTCGGTGCAGCTGAAGTTAATGGTTTTTATAATTTAATATAAAGTTTTGCTACAAATGGAGGTATTTCCCTTGCTTTGATCATTGCAAGTTGCAAGAGTATAAAATGTTTGGTTACATTCGAACTTGGGCCTTCTTTTCTTGTTTCCTATATAAATTTTCTGTGAGTTTTTGCAAGCCCCCTTAAGCAAAAATATATCATTTATATCGGTGGCGACATCACATAAGTAAATTGTAATTGTTTAATATTTTTGCATATCGCTCAAGTTTTTTTTTTCAAGCACAAAGTACGCTAAATAAGATTTCCCATAAGAGGATACGCCTTATGTTCCATACGATACAAACGATGCCCATGTAACCCTTTACACACTTACATATGTCTGTGCATAGTTAAAGTGATTGCCTCTACATTGTAATAGTGAGAAAAATGATGTGCCAGTCGCACCTATTACATTTTGTAACAAGATGTTTTTTTGAAGTACAATTAAATGCGCATCACTAGTTTTTAAGGTTGTGAAATTACTATGATCCCTTCTTTAATGGAATAGGTATACATACATGCATACATACATATGTGTGAAGTTATGCATAATACGCGCTGAAGTAAGACGTCTGAAAAAAGATCGCAGGATATGAATGATAACGAGGCATTCACTCGCCCTACGTACTTACATA